TCACGGACAATAAACAAAAAGTCCTGGCCCCTGATCTGTCCATGACTTGTACTATATTAATAGGCCTGACTAAACCTTAGGTGCTCTGGAAGGGGCTCCCGTGACTGCTGCTCTGAGGGGGCGAGGGGACCTCTGGCATGCCACCGCTGCTGCTCTCGGGGGGGGGTGGCCTGGGGGGTGGCCTGGAGCCCCGTCGCTGGGACCCCGGGGTGCGGGGCAGCTCGGGGCCCCGTCGCTGCTCCTTTGGGTTGGGGGTGGTTCAGGGCCCCGCTGCTGCTGCTCCGGGGTGCGGGGCAGCTCTGGGCCCCACCTCTGCTGCTGCTGGAGCGGGGGCGGCCCGGGGCACCACTGCTGCTCCTGGACCGCTGCTCCAGGGCAGCACCCGGGACCAGTTGTCTAGGCCACCTGAGCAGCTGAGGCGGCCCTGGGATCAGCTGCATGGGCCAGTGCAGAAATCACAGAGGTCCCAGAAAGTCACGGAATCCATGACTTCCGTGACCTCTGCGAAAGACTCACAGCCTTATTAATGATGAATGAGGCATTAACGAAAGGCTTTCTCTCATGGCTTAGATCCTGGACGGCTTGGGGCTCGGTCCCTCAGGGCCACCCATCCCTCCGACCGCCTTTTTCTCCGTGATTCCCTACCCAGAGAAGCGGATAGCTCAGGTGGCAGGAGAAGCCCTCAAGCACTTCACCTTCGTTGTGCCCGAAGATACGAATATGGATGAGGAAAAGAAGGATGCAGAGGGCAGTGCAGATGCTTCTGTCGCTGTCCCTGTGGTGAAGGTACAGGCTAAGTGGAAATGTTGCTTTGCAGAAGGTCCCGTGGTGATGGGAATGATCAGGCTGGTGAGCCGCAAGACCTGACCATAAAATGAAATTAGCAGCAGAGAAATGACATGTCCCTGTGTCTAGGAAGATTTGGACTGACATCAGTCTCTGTGTTTGTGTAGTGCGCTGCACAATGGGGTCCTGCTCCCTGACTGGGATCCTGTGTGTTGTGGTAATAAATAATAGTAAACATTAACGCCTCCGTTTTCTGAAAGGTGTGAGTGCTTGTGCATCTGATTTGCACACACTGTTACCATGACTTCACACACAGCTGGCCCGGGGCACTTCCAACCGGTCAGTCACACCGGCAGTTTTCCTGATCCCTGGCAGAGTCATGGTCATTGTGCATGCAGATTAGATGCACAGTTGGATGTGCATGTTTGTGAACATGTTAGCACCCACTGACCCTGACATTGCTAACTTCTAAAGAACCACAGCTCCCTTGTTTGCTTTGGGGGTTCGTGCTGGCTTGTGAACCAGAACTTGGGCCTTAGCTGATTTTAAAAGAACACCCTCTTTCCAGATTTCCTTTAAATAAAGACCCATTTTCATTGCAGCTCAATTCAAAGCACAGGGGAAAATCAATGTCAGTCAGCAAAGAAGGGGAAGAAAAGCCTTTGAAAGACTGTTATAAAGCATGAAAAGCAGCAAACTAACGGACCCCATTGTTGTGGTTAGAATTGTACAGGCGTTTCACAAGGAGAGATTTCCTTGATGAAATAAAAAACAACAACAAAGGATCTAAATCCTAAGCAGAAAGAAGCCATTAGGCCGGCGCAGGTGGATGCTCATTACTTGTTATCTGTCCTGTTGAACACGCTGGAGGCCTTACCTCAGGGACGTAGGGCTAAGGGACACAGTGACCCTAAGCATGGACTCCTGCTGCTTAAACATGAGTGGGCACAAGCCTCCATTGGCCTTTCTTTCGTCTCAGCGCCATTGCTCTTGGCTAGGCGCTATTGCACCTTGGTAGAGTACTTTGCTGCCTCTCCTTTGGGATCTCCTTAGCTATTTCTGACGGTCTTTTCCTGCCCTCGCGCTGGGTTGCAGGAAGAACAGATCACCCCAACCAGAGGCAGACTGAAGAAGGACAAAGCAGAGCCCAGCCGTGAGGCTCAGAAGGATAAGCGCAGCACAGGCCGCAAGAAGGGTCTTCAGGGCCCAGGCCCCGGAGCACTGGCACCACTGTCAGAGCTGGATCAAAGCAACTTGATTGGGGACCAATCCCAAGAAAAGATCCTCAGGTGAGCTACCAAGCAGCTTAGCCTGATGCATTCTAGCAGGGAGCCTGATTAGTACGAGCCATAGAGACTGGAGGCTGGTGATGTTCCTTCTGCGTTGGGGATTTTTAGGGGTCCCACCAGGCCACTCTGCTCACTCAGGACATGTCTCCGAGGGATACTGAGCAGCAGTGGGTGCTGCTCAAAGGAGACAGTGGATGATTCCATGTAGCAGGGAGGTGCTTAGGGCTCTTTCTTAGGGTAGCCAGGGGTCTGGTTTTTGACCGGAACGCCCAGTCAAAAAGAGACCCTGGCAGCTCCGGTCAGCACTGCTGACCGGGCCATTAAAAGTCTGGTCAGCAGCGCAGTGGGACTAAGGCAGGCTCCCTGCCTGCCCTGGCTCCACACAGCTCCTGGAAGCAGCGGCATGTCCCCCTCCTATGCATAGGTGCAGCCAGGGGT